ATTTATATTATATTATTTAATTGTTCAAACTCAAAATGGATGAAGATATTAAGAGTATTGTTATACTAACAATTGGAGGGCATGTGTGGATGGATATTTAATTCCTTTGCCCATATTAATGCTCTCTAATATTTTGTTTTTGTTTGTAATGTCTTCCATGTTTAGAGTTAGTGCTTAAGATCAAAGTGGCGTTTGTGTGTAAATCATTAATGGGATGAGCCCATGATGTTCATCATCGTTTTATTATTAGAGTTACACTTGACATGGCAACAAAGAAAATTTACAAAGACGAAGAGCAACCGATACCTAAACTCAAATAGCATCAAACTCCGTTTACATACACTCTTTCTCTACCAAGTTGTACTCGATCCTCCCAAATGCCTCTTTGGGAGCTAGGCATTTATGCCAACCTTGTGGTCCTAAAACTAACGTGGGTGATGGGCCATAGACTCTAAATTCTACTCGTAACATCCTTTTTACTTCTCTTTGCTACCAAATTTCTATCAATTCAATCCATTCCTTTCAAATTGAACTCGAATCTTAATTGTGATTCGATTTCACATATGTTCTTTGTAAGCTCACATGAGTCGCTATTGATTTAAAACTTTAGATTCACTTTAATATTCAAAATAGATTCAAGTGAATCATACTTCATTATGGTAAACCCCAAATATTGGGTATTTAGTTTAGTCATTACGTGGCAAAATTATGAGCCTAGTGGACACAAATGATTGCGTGTCCCTGCCTTGCAGAATGCAGTCAATAGTCAACTATAGTAATCATCTCATCTTGTAATAACATCCAATCACAACCGTCCAAATTCTAATGAGTGCTCTTTGAATCAGCACTGGGAAAACTCATAACTTGATATGGTACACGTGGCGTATTGGTCCCATATTTTCACCTCTCTACAAGTCGTGGATGTCATCATACACAACCACTACTCCTTCCTTTGGTCGGATTCCATTCGTCCACATCAGCAAGAGATATAATTTCGTATGAAGAGATATAATCGAGCTGAGATTGATAACGTGAAAAATGTTTCGTTCTCACTACTCATTCCTTTTGTCGACATTCCATTCGTCCACATCAGCCAGAGATATAATTTTCTACTTCGCGTCCCATTTTTTTCATTTTGTTTTCTGGTCGTTGATCCAACTTAGATTGATCGGGTGGAGAATGTTTCGTTCTTATCTCGAATTGAAATCGAAGAAATAAAAGAAAAGTGAGAGAGTTTGGTGAGGGTTAGGAGGTGAAATGGATAGATAAGGGAACATATAATTTGTTTCCTTTTTAAGGTCCTTAAGTTAGGGAAATAAAGTAAAAACTAAAGTTTCTATTTTTATAGGCATGAGATTTTTCACTCTTCTTTCACATCATAATTCTAAAAGGCTTCATTATTGATGATTATTCCATGTGTTTGTTCATCTTTAGTTGGGTAGGCTATTCAACCTCATTTCAATTACTCTTAATACTGTTTCCATGAAGAACTTAGTGCCCATATGGTGCATGAATTAAAAAAAAGATTCGATTGTTACCATTGGATTAGAAGAAGCAGAGAGAGAGAGAAGAACAGAGTAGTCTGCAGGAGAGAGGACTGCAACTTCGAATTGTTCTTCTTCTGTGCATGATTGCTTTTGAAAATGGCCTCTTTCCCCCTCTCTCTCTGTACCCTTTAATTTATGGTGCGTGGTACGTCCCCGAGGCTGGGCGCCATCAGAACAGAACCGAATTGTAAAACAGAGAGAGACGAAGAGGAACAGAGTCTTCCCTTTTTTTACTTTTCTTAATCCTTTTGGTGATAAAGAATACACCAAAAGTCACATTGCATGCGTGTTTAAAGCTTATTCTTCATCATCACCTCGCTTTCTCCACGCCCTTCCTCTCTTCCATTGCATCCTTTTTTCACGTTCTTAACTATTTGCCTCTCTTTTCTCGTTTCTTTTTGTTTCTTAGCTGAGTTATAGAGCTATTCTGCAGTGACCCTTTTCTGGTTTGGAGTTTTGGAGCTCTGAAATTGTACTGCTTGTAGATTGCATTGGTTTTTAGGGTGAGTTCTTTTCTTTTTGAATTCTGGGTTTGCTTCTTCTTCGTGGTTATTCAATGGGGCCGCCACTTTTGCAGCATTGAATCTTTGGGTATCAGCTGGATAGTGATTTTGCTACACTCTTCTATATTTATTCTTGACTAGGGTATCAGCTGGGTGTTTCTGCATAGTTTATTCTTCTGGGTTTTCTGTGTTGTCTTCCTTAACGGAAGATTTCGTCCTTGTTTTTCGATGATGAACTCCCAAACAAGATCTGGGTTTCTAAATTTTGTTCACTTTTTTGGACTCTTATCCTTGCATTTAGGAATTTTCAAGCCGTCGGAGGTGTTTTTTTTTTACTGATTGTGTATCGTATTGGCTCCCTATCATATGAAACGAAGCATTCCATTGTTTGAATTTGCTGAAACAATGGCTGTAAAATTGGGTTTTGATTTAACATAGGAATAGTAATGCTTGAAAACATTGAAGAAACTGCCAAAGTCTTGGACATGTTTTCAACTTTTCGTATAAAACAAACAATGATTCATTTCTCTTTTGAAGGATTCTTCGTCATATTTATGCTGACATGAAGTTTTCCTCTTATGGGTTCTTTTTTTCCCTTCTCAGTAGAATGACGTCTTGAATCCGTGAAGAAGATGGTAAAAAATGAGTTCAGAGTAAGCGTGATTATGAAGAGACATCATGTTCATCATTTAGTGAAGCTTTAGCAAGTTCTTTAGCCATTGCCAGTCGATTTCTCAGCCCACCAGCAATGACAGAGAGCTCGGAGCAGCAACTTGTAATCAAACCCCACTTTCAGAACTCTGTTCAAAAAGCTCAAAAACCAATCCAAAATGGTAAAGGCCAGCCGAATCTCGAACACCAAAACACCAAAAACAGAGCCCGAAGAAGAAGCAGAGGCGGTCGGAAATCCGATCAGGGAGAAGTCGTTATGATGCCAAATTCTCGGCCCTGCACGGTGGCACGTAAACCTAACGCACCGGAGATTACCGCCGGAGCTTTAGTGGCGAGTACTAATCCAAATCCAAATGGTGCAAGCAATTCAAGCAAGTCTGTGAGTTTTGCCCCACGACCTGGATTTGGGCAAGTTGGGACAAAGTGTATGGTAAAAGCAAACCATTTCTTTGCAGAGTTACCCGACAAAGATTTGAATCAATATGATGTAAGTTTTGGTCCCTTCCATATGACAATCAACTTATGCTGCAATTTTAAATTTTTGCAGATGAAAATGAATAAGTTTGTCATTTCGTGATGTCCTTTTCTCAACTTAAATAGCCTTCATTTTGTTCTTTTTGTCTGCTTGATTTTGTTTGGTTTTGTTTTCCCGCCGTTGGGGGATGGGGTTTTACAGGTTACAATCACTCCAGAAGTGGCCTCAAGAACTGTGAACAGAGGCATTATGGCTGAATTGGTGAGATTATACAGAGAATCTGATCTGGGAAAGAGATTACCAGCTTATGATGGCAGAAAGAGTCTGTATACAGCTGGTGAGCTTCCTTTTGTATGGAGAGAGTTTAACATCAAGCTTGTGGATGAAGAAGATGGAGTCAGTGGTCCCAAGTAAGAATTTACATTCATAAACAGCTTTTGTTTTTTATCCACTGCTAGTAGTTATTGTTCGTTTTGGTTTGTTACGTATCGTCATCAGCCTCACGGTTTTAACACGCGTCAACTGAGGAGAACAAAGCATTCCTTATAAAGGTGTGGAAACTTTTCCTAGCAAACGCGTTTTAAAATCTTGAGGGGAAGCATTCTTTATAAGGGTGTGAAAATCTCTCCCTAGCAAACGTGTTTTAAAAACTTGAGGGATAGCCCAGAAGTAAAAGCCTAAAGAAAACAATATCTACTAGCGGTAGACTTGAACTGTTACAAATAGTATCAGAGTCAGATACCGGGTAGTGTGCTAGCGAGGACGCTAGCCCCTGAGGGGGTGGATTGTGAGATCCCACATCAGTTGGAGTGGGAAACAAAACATTCCTTATAATGGTTTGAAAATCTCTTATAGCAGACACTTTTTAAGATCTTGAGTGGAAGTACAGAAGGGCAATATCTGCTAAGATAGGCATGGACTGTTACAAGTGGTATCAAAGTTAGAAATCGGGTGGTGTGCCAGCGAGGACGCTGGCCTCCAAGAGAGTGGATTGTGAGGTCCCACATCGGTTGGAGAGGGGAACGAAGCATTCCTTATAAGGGTGTGGAAACCTCTTCTTAGTAGACACGTTTTAAAATCGTGAGACTTACAGCGACACATAACGAGCCAAAACGAACAATATCTGCTAGCGGTGGGCTTTGGTTATTACACCGCCCCTCTTCGAATTCGAAAACTTTTACGTTGTCTACTGTCAAATTCATGTATCTGTTCATTATGAAAGGTATCCAATGTGTTAGAAAGGAAGTTTTGAAATTTATGGGGAATGTTTTGTTTGTCATTCAACTAATACAATTGAAAACTTCAGGAGGGAGAGGGATTATAAAGTGGTCATTAAGTTTGTTGCAAGGGCAAATTTGCAGTATTTGGGTCAGTTTCTTGCCGGCAAGCGTGCCAATGCACCACAAGAAGCCATTCAAATACTGGACATTGTCTTGAGAGAGCTATCATCCAAAAGGTACTAAATTTATTATCATTCTATTTGTTATGTTAAACTTGTTACAAAGATCAGCTAAACATGGCTCATTTTCGTAGTTTTGTTATGCTCGTTGCGTTTCGAATTCGTGTAGGTACTGTCCTATAGGGAGATCCTTCTTTTCTCCTGATATCAGGTCACCTCAACGGCTCGGTGATGGCCTAGAATCATGGCGCGGTTTTTACCAGAGTATAAGGCCTACTCAAATGGGACTGTCTCTGAACATTGGTAAAAAGAATCTTAAAACAAAGGCTTACAGATTCTACTTAAGTGATTTCTCTTACTATTGTTTATGCTCTTATGTTAATAGATATGGCTTCAGCTGCGTTCATCGAGCCTCTCCCTATCCTCGAGTTTGTTGCTCAGCTTCTCGGGAAAGATGTTTTGTCACGGCCACTGTCTGATTCCGATCGCGTAAAGGTGTTTGTTTTTGTCTGATCTCGTCCATTTTTTCACTGTTTCCTTGTCCTTTAACTTGAGAGGATAAAACAGATCAAAAAGGCTCTTAGAGGGGTGAAAGTCGACGTAACGCACCGGGGTAATGTAAGGCGTAAGTATCGTATTTCGGGGCTAACGTCACAGCCTACAAGAGAACTAGTGTAAGTTTTTGAATTATTCAAGCAGATACACTTGCATTAGTGTAAGCTTTTACTCTATATGGCTAATCCATGCGTGCTAATGCTCGGTCAGGTTTCCTGTTGACGACAACTCGACCATGAAGTCGGTTGTCGAGTACTTCCAGGAGATGTATGGCTTCACCATCCAACATGCTCATCTGCCTTGCCTCCAAGTAGGAAATCAGAAGAAGGCCAATTATTTACCAATGGAGGTAGCTTAAAATTCTTCCCTCATTGCTATTGTTGTTAGATTGATGCCCACCGGCCTTATTTGAATGCTTTTGTGTCTGCAGGCCTGCAAAATTGTTGGGGGACAAAGGTATACAAAGAGATTGAATGAGAAACAAATAACTGCACTTCTGAAAGTCACATGTCAAAGACCAAGGGATCGAGAAAACGACATTCTAAAGGTAATATGTCCTCTTTGAGTTTTCCCTTTCGGGCTTCCCCTCAAGGTTTTTAAAACGCATCTGCTAAAGAAAATTTTCCACACCCTTATAAAGAATGCTTCGTTCTCCTCTTCAACCGATGTGTGACCTCACAATCCACACCCCCCTTTGGGCCTCGTCACCGCTGGCACTCGTTCCTTTTTCTAACAGATGTGGGATCTCACAATTCACTCCTCTTCGGGGCCCAGCGTCCTCGTTGGCGCACCATCCTGTGTCCACCCCCCTTCAGGGCTCAGTGTCCTCGTTGGTACACCACCCAGTGTCTAGCTCTAATACCATTTGTAACAGCCCAAGCCCACTGTTAGCAGATATTGTCCTCTTTGGGCATTTTCTTTCGGGCTTTTCCTCAAGATTTTTAAAACACGTATGCTCGGGATCTCACATATGAAGTCCTATTTTTTCCAATATTCCTATGAAAACTGCATGTGAAGTTTGCACTGAGACTATAATCCATTCAAAGGAACAAGATATTCAATGTCCAATTAGGCAGTAGACTTTCTTGACTCTTTATCTGATTGCTGGATAACACAGTTTCTTCTCTTGGCCTTCAAACTTTGATAGACTGTTCAACATAATGCCTATAACAACGATCCTTATGCAAAGGAGTTTGGGATAAATGTTAGTGAAAAGATGACTTCTGTTGAAGCTAGAATTCTTCCTCCTCCATGGGTATGCATTACTTCTTCAAATCTCATGTTATCCACTGCTACGTTAACGAAAAAGTCGTGTTTATGCTGACATCAACTTCTTGATGAACTGATGCAGCTGAAATACCATGATACTGGAAAAGAGAAGGATTGCTTGCCTCAAGTGGGTCAATGGAATATGATGAATAAGGTATATGCCTCTTTTTTTATAAACTTTAGTTCGTTTTTCTTATTTTTCATCGTTTCTATACGAACGTCAACTTAGATTTGAAAAGTTAGAATTTAGTTCCTATGGCTTTAAATGTCAGAATTAGGCCCAATGGTTTGATAAAACTCTCGCCATTTTGTGAGGTAGGCGCTATTTACGAGAATTTTATCAATCGGTAGAGACTATGTAACGGTCCAATCCCACCACTAGCAAATATTGTTCTCTTTTGGGCTTTCCCTCAAGGTAGGGAGAGGTTTCCACACCCTTATAAAGAGTGTTTCGTTCTCCCTCCCAACCGACGTGAGATCTCACAATCCACCTCCCTTCGGGGCCCAACCTTCTTGCTGACACTCATTCCCTTCTCTAATCGATGTGGGACCCCCCCAATCCACCCCTTCAGGGCCCAACGTCCTTGCTAGCACACACCTCGTGTCCACCCCCTTTGAGACTCAGCGGTCCACCCCATTTCAAGGCTCAGCCTCCTCATTGGCACATCACCCAGTGTCTAGCTCTGATACCATTTATAATGGCTCAAGCCCACCGCTAGCAAATATTGTTCTCTTTAGGCTTTCCCTTCTGGGCTTCCTCTCAAGGTTTTAAAACGCGTCTTCTAGGGAGAGATTTCCACACCCTTATAAAGAGTGTTTTGTTCTCTTCCCCAACCGATGTGGGATCTCACAGACTATTTATGAGGTTTTATCAAATATCATATTATCCATGCTTACATTTTTCCTCACGTAATGCAGAAAATGATTAATGGAATGACGGTTAGTCGGTGGGCATGTATCAACTTCTCTAGGAGCGTGCAGGAGAGCGTTGCTCGTGGATTTTGTTCTGAACTTGCTCAAATGTGTCAAGTTTCTGGAATGGTAACATTTTGGCTGATTCTTTATTGGTTCTTCAAGATTAAGATGTCTCATTTTACTGACCTGCAACATAACATATTGTAGGAATTCAATACAGAACCAGTTATTCCAATATACAATGCTAGGCCAGAACAAGTAGAGAAAGCTTTGAAGCATGTTTATCATGCTTCCATGAACAAGACTAAAGGAAAAGAGTTAGAGCTATTATTAGCCATCTTACCCGACAGTAACGGATCGCTTTACGGTGAGCTCATACAACTCGTAAAATGATCCGAAAACGGAGATGACCCTTCTAAACTGAGATTTTTCTTTGATATCATTCGGATTTGTAGGTGATCTTAAGCGAATCTGTGAGACGGATCTTGGTTTAATATCACAATGCTGTCTTACAAAACATGTGTTCAAGATTAGTAAGCAATATCTTGCTAATGTTTCACTGAAGATCAATGTCAAGGTACAATTTAGCTCCGCAGTTTAGTGATAGCACAAATTTATAAATGTTATCCACTTGATGAGTGATATTTGCTCTTGTTCTTCTCCTGTTTGATACCTCAGATGGGTGGTAGAAACACTGTTCTTCTAGATGCTATCAGCTGCAGGATACCGCTCGTAAGCGACATACCGACTATAATATTTGGAGCAGACGTGACTCATCCAGAGAACGGCGAAGATTCAAGCCCTTCGATAGCTGCTGTACGGTCTCCTAGGAAGTTACTGATATTTTGAGGTTGTTTTCATTCAACATTCCTGACTTTGTTGTTACTAATGGCATTTAGATCCACGGCAGGTTGTAGCATCTCAGGATTGGCCTGAAGTGACAAAGTATGCTGGACTAGTATGTGCTCAGGCTCATAGACAAGAACTTATACAAGACTTGTATAAAACTTGGCAGGATCCTGTCCGTGGCACCGTCAGCGGGGGCATGATCAGGTATCGGTTTATCCTACTCCGTTCTTCAAAAATGGAAACAGATAGACTGTAATTTATACTTTACCGGTTTTGTCACAGGGATCTTCTGGTTTCGTTTAGGAAAGCAACAGGGCAGAAGCCTCTAAGAATAATATTTTACAGGTAAAGCAGTTTTTCCTGCTTTAGGCAGATTGAACACATTTCATGTTGAGAAAAAACAATACTTGTAGCAACTGAATCATAGTCATTGTCATGAAGAATGGCTGACACCTCCACTCCCACTGCTAGCTTCTTGTTGAGTGTGAGATCCCACGTTGGATGGAGGGGAGAACGAAACATTCCTTTTAAGGTTGTGGAAACCTCTTCCTAGTAGACACGTTTTAAAACCTTGAGGGGAAGCTCGGAAGGAAAAGTCTAAAGAGGACAATATTTGCGAACGGTGGGCTTGGGCTGTTACAAATGATGGTGGTTACAAATGGTATCAGAACCAGACACCAAGTGGTGTGCCAGCGGGGATGCTGGGTGTCACAATCGCGGTTTCTAGGTAGCGGAATTTGCAATTGTGCGGCACTCACTCTCAGCACTGAGTGAGTCAAGTCTACTTCAAGTCACGTTGCCTATGGTCGGGCTACGTGAATACAAACCTCGGGTCTAAATTTCAAGAGAAGATTTTAGAAAGCGGGGGAGAGGTTTTGGAAAGAGAGTTTTGAAAGAAAGAGAGAGAGTGTGTGTGTTATATAGCATGCATGCAAAAAGGCAACAACAACTTAAACAGTATATAACTTTATGGGTAAGTAGAATTTGATAACTAGTCGCATCCCCCTATAGTACATTTTGAGGCATTTCATGTCTACCAAGCGTAGCCATGAGTTCACCATAACATCATACTCTTAAAGAAAAAAAACAAGAAAGAAATAATACAACATGAAAGCGGTAAAAGAAAGCAATAAAGTAGTACAAGGCAGGGTTTCAGCGTGTCACGGGCATGTGGCCATGAGCGACATGCTTTGGGCAAGCATGACTGTGACACTGGGCCTCCAAGGGGGATGAATTATGAGATCCCACATCGGTTGGAGAGGGGAACAAAGCATTCTTTATAAGGGTGTGAAAACTTCTTCCTAGCAGACGTGTTTTAAAACCTTGAGGGGAAGTCCGAAAGGGAAAGCTCAAAGAGAACAATATCTGTTAGTGGTGGGCTTCGGCTGTTACAAATGGTATTAGAGCCAGTGTAGGTGTGCTAGCAGGGACGCTGAGTCCTCAAGGAGGGTGGATTGTAAGATCCCACATCGGTTGAAGAGGGGAACGAAACATTCCTTATAAGAGTGTGGAAACCTCTCCCTAGCAGACGAGTTTTAAAACTTCGAGAGAAGCCCGGAAAGAAAAGCCCAAAGAAGACAATATCTGTTAGTGGTGGACTCGAGCGGTTACATATGCATAACTAGTTACTTACTATAGTTCTCTGTATTGCTTATCATCTTGGCAGGGATGGCGTTAGTGAAGGACAATTCTATCAAGTATTGCTTTACGAGTTAGATGCAATCAGGAAGGTAATGAACCAATGAACTCAGCCTCTCCATTTTTTGTTCCTAACCATTCTTATTACCGATCATAAGTTTTCTAGTTCTCCTTTTGGTATAGGCATGTGCTTCTTTAGAACTGAATTACCAGCCACCCGTGACGTTCATCATCGTACAAAAACGACATCACACCCAACTGTTTGCCAACAACCATAGAGACAGAAGTAGCACAGACAGGAGTGGAAACATTTTACCTGGTACACAGCTCAATCCTCGTTTCAAACATGTTCTGTTAGAGATGCAGGACAAGTTTTTAATCCGATATTCGTTCGTCTTACGTGTTCTTCAGGCACCGTAGTCGACTCCAAAATATGCCACCCGACAGAATTTGATTTCTATCTTTGTAGCCATGCTGGAATTCAGGTATTGATTTCATGTCTCTTTGTAGCCATGCCACCCAATTGTTTACCATGTTCTTGTTCTTTGATTTGTTGTAGGGGACAAGCCGGCCAGCTCATTACCATGTTCTTTGGGATGAAAACAATTTTACAGCAGATGGGATTCAGTCCTTAACCAATAATCTTTGCTACACGTATGCAAGGTGTACGCGTTCGGTTTCTGTCGGTAAGCCAGTTTTCATTCTTTGATTGGTTCCGAGTTACATATTTGGTGTTACTGAAGTTCCTAGTCTTGGCATTGATGCAGTCCCTCCAGCATACTATGCACATTTAGCAGCATTCCGAGCTCGATTCTACATGGAACCAGAGATGCAAGAGAATGGCACGAGTGGTCGTTCTGCTAAGAGTGCGACCGGGGTTCGCCCCTTGCCAGCTCTAAAGGAAAATGTGAAGAGAGTAATGTTTTACTGTTAGAAATCGGAACCACCAAGGAAAGGGGAGGCTCGTAGTCGGAGCGATGACGGGAAAGGTTCGGCTTCCTCTGCATTAGTTCCCTTGTAAATGAATGATCACAACCAGCCATAGATCACAGGTTCTCTTCTCACCCACATTTGTAAAGAACTGTTCTTCCATAATGAATCAGTACAGATGCCTTATTAATGTGTTGAATTATTTCGAGTCTACAACAAAAATTTTTGATCCAATCCGATGCCCTATCAAGTCCAGTGCTTATGCCCCTTTAGATTTAAATCACTCCGGTAAGATTGATAATATTAAATTTGAATGATTCTAAACATATGAACTTGAACTATACAGAATTGCAAAAAAAACTTAAAGAAAGAATAAACGCTATTTGTCATGCATTTTCTAAGTTTACTCTATATATGGTTTTATACTCAAAATAAAATTCTTGACCTTCGGATAAAATTTTCAAGATTTGATATTTTATAACTATAATTAGCACGTAAACATAACTAAAAATAAATAAATAATTTTAATACTGAAAAAATACATTAATGAAACGCGGTAGATCTAGATTGTAATCCACCTAAAAGTTTATAATCATCTATGAACATATGAAGTAAACTGAATGTATTGTTGTATAAATGAACTTGATTTTTCTTTAACATGACATTAGTTGTAACTTGAGTTTAACAAATTTTATTTTACATGTTTCTTGAAGTTAAGATATCTTCGTTCATATCGATACTTTTTTTAAATTGTTTGTCTAATCAATTTGTTGGAAACCATATTGAAGAGAACCCGATTAATACCCAAATAAAGATCTCCCACAAGCTGAAAATAATTTTGATCACGACAAAGAAACCGGTTCGTTAGAACACGAATATTAAATCTTAAATAGGTAGCTACCGATTTAAAACACGGGTAGAAATGTTCATGGCAGCAATCCCAAAAAACTACATGAAATACACAAACTGCAACTCTAAGAATCTTACAGAAAAAAAAAAATCAAAAACCAATTATGAGATAGAAAAATGCATATGGCGTAATGAAATCTTGAAAAATTAAAGGATACCCATGTCGGCTGTTGCTGGAAACAGCATAAAGATAAGGCCGCCGCCATGATCAGAAGCTTTGAAGAGGGAATCAGAAACCCTAATTTCTCTCAGATCATGAAACCCTAAACCCTAAACCCTAAACCCTAAAACCTATCAGAAAAAGGATCACAAAACTCAATTATGAAAGGAATTGATCCAAATTAAATGAAAATTTTGAAGGGATTAGGGTTTGTGAGGGAAAAACGACAACAGGTGAAATTGTCGCATGATCTGATCTTTCCTCAACGACGAAAACAAGAGAGAGAAAATTTAAGATCATGCTGGCAGCTTCAACTGTTAGTAATTCACCATAATTTGAAGGGAAAAGCTGATG